TCCCCAAACCCCCCCCCCCCCCCCCCCAACACACACACAAAAGAAAAAAAAAAATCACCGGGAAGTTTCTTTTTTTTTTTTCTTTGTCAAAAGAGACATTGCATGCCTCTTCTACTAAAAAAAACCCTAACTAGCAATTCTTTATTTTTTTTCCCCTTTTCTAACCAAAATACTGAACAAGGTACTGTATAAGTGTAAAAAAAACCTTTTTAACTTTGTTTAAACATAGTAAAATAAATGGCAAACTGTATACAAAAACAGTTTTAAACTTACCAATTTGAACTTCCTTTACAGATGGAGCTAGCAGACAAACCATATTCGGAGGAGGCTTTGTACTCAGACGCTCATTCTGAACCTCTTGTAACTCACAGATTAATTTAGTGGTTTCATCCAACTTCCTCTGGAACTTCTGTGCTCCTGTAATTATATTGTGTTAGTATGGAATTTGTAGACCGTGGGTATCAATTTCTTTTCTCCAACCCATAACTACACTTAAAAAAAGCAAATGTTGCTTGGAAAGCAACATTTCCAAATAATATCTTAACATTTTGTACGGAATTTTCAGGCAGAAATTGAGAAGGAAAGCTTTCCTAAATACAGCAATCTACTGTTTGCCAAGAGTTAAAGCAACCTTGCCTTAGTTGCAGGGGTTACCGAATCTTCTCACAAGAAGGGAAGATGGGGGAGTGCACGAAAAGAGCAAGTGCTGCTCTACTTGCAATGGCAAGTTTATTCTGAAAGCTCTTAAAGCGGAAGTAAACTCCACTGTGCAACTTGACATCAGTATACAGCACATACTTTTGATAGTCACCATCAAAATCCTCCATACTCTTCCCTTGTAGAGATACTGTTGCATTATTTTTTGTGTGACCTTACCTGCACACAAGATCAGAACAGTGCCTTGTCGGGATAACGTCATCCATCTCTAGCAAGGCACTCACTGATGCAATGCTCCCCTACCCACTGATGGGATATGAGGGCGGACATAGAGTTATTGGCACCAAGCATAGGAAAGCCCCTACGATAGCACCAAAACTGGTAGGAGTAGGCAAAAGGGCCTACATACAAAAATAGGTATGACATATAATAATGACCTATACTGTATAGAACATGTCTATTTTGGTGATTGATGTACTGACGTTTTCTGGCAATGGTATGCAGTTACTTCCACTTTAATGTCTTCAAGCACTTTTGTTTCTGAAACCTATCCTGAGTCCTGACCCTCGCCAGAACAAGCTTTACCTTGGCCTCGAGAACCAACTACGGCCTACATTTTTCTATGAGGATTCCAGCTGGCCTATTCTGGGGCTCTAGTTTGGACAAGGCATTTCAAACATGAATTCAGCCACAAGAACGCAGCAAATTATATTTAAAAACATCACAGAAGTTTGTTCGAGATAACTAAAGACACCCAGTATATGCAAGATGCATGTGCTGTACTGCCAGCAACTGCAACTGGTCCCCATTATACACAGTCAAACCATAGCTGGAGAAATGAAGTTGTTTTCCCACCTTCAGAATCAAAGGTCTCTTCAAATAATTCCAGACCAAACACAGACTTTAAACTTGCAAATTGGTCAGTGGTGCCAACACAGTCTGGCTTCGCTGAGCTTTCACTCACTGTTGCCTGTAAAACACATAAGTATATATATATGGGTTAGCTAAAGTGACAGCACAGCAACAAAGCTTGCTTTACACATTCCTATGTCCGATTAAAACTTCTTACTCAACCCTCTGATAAGAGATGTCACTCCTGTGAGGGTTCCTTTTAATTCTGTCTTTCAGCAAAGCTGAAATAGTTTACCGGTAATATGTGAAAAGGAGACTAGAGCTTGATATGATGGCTGGATAGAAGAAGTTTGCATAAAAACGATATGCATGATTTTAGATATCTTTTAAATAAATATATTTTTTATTTTTTAAGTTTATTTAGTACTAGATTTAATAAACAAAGAAAGGTTGTGCAAAACCATAATATATAGTAGTCCCTTTAAAAAATAAAATAGATAAACAAAGTGATTTTTTATAAAATGTACTTCTTAGTCTAAAGGATTACTGGAACACATTCATAACATTTCCAAAAACTGGAGTTACCTTATTCTGCTCTCTTTCTGTTCTGGAATATTCTCCATTACTGAACGCATCCAGGATACAGTCCACCATCCCATAAGGTTGGCTCTTTATATTCTCCAAGAATTCTTGTAAGCTAAAAAATACAAAATTCATCTTACACAAATATATATGGAATGCCTTCTATAATAAAAACAGTCTAACATAATGCTAACTGGTGAAACAGAATTATTAACCTAAGTTAATATAATACAATTTTCCTAAAATATCACCTATCTTAAAATATTATTATCGGCATTATATAGCGCCAACAATTTACACAGCACTTTACATACTGTACTTTCCTTTCAGTCCCTTCCCTCAAAATGCTTACAATATTAAGTCCTTATATTACATGCATACATACGGCACAATTTACACAGCACCAAAACCAAAAGAAGCTGACTTATTTGGAATGCATTGTTCACCCCATACAGTAGTTTACCTGCTTTGCAAACTATTGTGTGGGGTGAACACTGCATTCCAAAAAAGAAGTCAGCTAAGCACTTCTGAGCAGATTTAAAGTGTATTTCTGCTTTTGCAGCTAAATTGGGATGACACCTGGAACTCCACAGCTCATGGAAGTTATGGGCTGGGTGCTTGCCGCTGGGAGCATGTCCTCACTCCAATATGAGCAGATACAAAACAGAAGAAAAGCTGGCCGCACACAGCTTCAGCAGAATCTGGTGCACAGCCAGCCAGCTTTTCTTCTGTTTGTATGGGAAATATATATATATATATATATTTTAAGGCTTCATTCATACTATGTGTGAATGTGTGTTATGGGATTCCTGAGGCAGGAACCAAGAAATTCCTGTGGTAGGAATCCCAAACGTGCCTTTAAGAAGCGGCCGTTGTCACCAGTTCAAGTTAATGATCGGATGACGACGGCTGCATCTGTAAGCAGTCATCAGCATGTAAAACGTATGTGATCTGATTACATGCGATTAGAAATAGATTACTATCCCTGGACGCAAGATAGATGTCTCCAGGGACAATGATCTATTCCAAACTACATGAAATATTAAAACAAATATATGTTTTTAGTAGGGATGCACCGATACTAGTATTGATATGGGTGCCGATTCCGAGTATTTGGGCAAGTACTCGTACAAATGCTCCGATGCCTAGCACGAGTACTTCCGGTATCGGGAAGCGCATCATTACACGCTGCCCGTTTTCGCGATTGACCGAGAAGCGGCTCCATGCTCTCTCATCACTTGTGATGAGAGAGCATGGAGCTGGCCAATCAGGAAGCTGGCCTCGTGAGGTAAGATTACCTTACCTTAGTATGTGCAGCCTGTCACCCCAGGGGCCTCTCCTGCTAGAATGCGGCCTTCGTCCGTTACCCAGCCGGAGCCGTCCAATCAGGAAGCCGGGCGCCGTCTAATGACGCGACGCCCTGCTTTCTGATTGGCCGGGAAGCTGGCTTCATGCTCCCTCGTCATCTCATGACAAGAGAGCATGGAGCCGGCATCCCGGCCAATCAGAAAGCAGGGCGTCGCGTCATTACACGGCGCCTGGCTTCCTGATTGGCCGGCCAGACGGCTCCGGCTGGGTACCGGACGAAGGCCGCGTTCTCGCTGGAGAGGCCCCGGGGATGACAGGCTGCACATACTAAAAAGGTAAGAGGGGACTTTCTTGTTAATCGGGAAGCCGGGTGGCGACTCTTTACACGCTGCCCGGCTTCCCGGCTAATCAGGAAGCCAGGGGGCGAGTCATTACACGCCACCTGCTTCCTGAATGGGACTTCCGTTACTCGGTAATTGGTATCGGCGAGTACCGAAAAAAATTATCGGTACTCGGTACCAAAATACCGGTATCGGTGCATCCCTAGTTTTTAGGTATGTTGTATGAATAGGAAAACAAACATATAGTGGGGTTTTATCCACTTTGTGTGCAAAAGTGAAAAAAAAAAAAAACACTTTCAAATGTATTTTCCCTTTTGCAGCCAAACTGGAATAAGGCCTACTTAATTGTTACATGTTCCCATTCACATAATTTAAAAGTTGCTGCCCACATTTTTACTCTGTCTTTTCTGAAAATTCCAAAACTGAAAATGTTCCCCCTTTAATGTTTGCTCAACAAATAGCACATTAGCTACATTTTTGAGTATAGCACAAACATTTATATTACATCTACTTCCCTGTACCTAAATCAATGAACACTAAATGCAAACCACAAGTAAATTTCCTGGAAACTGATAAATATATTCATGACAGTCATGAATCAAAAGGATAGACAGACCTTAAAACCTTTTTTACATAGTTTTGCTGCTGTACCGTACCTGAAAGTTCCCTGAAGACTGGGCTCTTCTCCATACATTGTGTATATTAGATCAGAATCATCCTTGCCAATGTTTGCGAAGGTCGAGTCATAGGATGGTGCGTAGGAGGTGAATGGTCCATAGTTCAAGTATGACACTATGAACAAAACACATATTTGCATCATGACCATTATATACCTTTACAAACTATATTGGATATTTACAACTAGGTCTGACATTTTATGTATGTAGAATACATTTATGGATGTGCTCTCTTGAAAGTTTCTGGGAACTCGACTGCATTTAAAAAAAACCCAAAAAAACATCTTTTACCAACGTATTCATTATTTATTAAAATACATTCTATTTCCTGTTTAAAATGAGGCACTAAAACAATTTTTCTGGTACAAACCATGGCAAAGTTATTTATAAATGATACAAAAGATTTTATATAATTTGTGTATGTGTATTCTCTTTTAATACAGCAAGAAAAACATAAAAATGGTTAAAGAAACAACTATTCTTTAAAAGAAAAGGAAGAAGGAGAGAAAGGAGATAATGAGGGCTCATTAAGGTTAATAGTTACAACATAATTATCACTAAAAGCCTACATACACAGACTTTATAAGGAGACAGTCTCTGTGCTCCTGAGACATAGGTCAAACTGACAGCCAGCCCCAGTGATTTTGCTGGTGTAGCGGCTGTAGAGAATTATACATTCCCAGTAAAAGTTGAACTATGGGAAAAATAAAAATGTTAACTATTAACTTTAAACTTACAAAAATTATACATCACAATAAAAGTTGACCTATAAGCAAAATAAAAAAATGTTAAGTATTACCTTTGAACTTAACAAAATACAATAAAAATATATAATGCCGTCTTACCCGGAGTGACTTTGTTACGTTTATCTTCCTTGAATCCTTGGAGGCAATTTACTCCCGTTTGCAGCCGGCCAGCTGTAGACCCAAGAATGGCACTTCCATGACCTGCTTCTGAAGAAAAGTGTTTCTTTATAAATAGGGGTGCAAAGAATCAAACTGCTCGTCCTGCTTCCACTGCAATATGTTTGTATCATGTAAAAAGTACATATTTTTTTATTGATTTACTGATTCTTAACCTGGAACTTTGTTACTTGCAACTGCATTTTTTTCTTTCATTGCACACATCACCTCCGGTGTCACTATGCACATTCTCTGGCTCAAAGAACCAGAAGAAGCTGGTGAAGCAGATCTCTACTTCATCAGCTTCTTTTGGATCCCTAGGTGACATTAGGGGTCTAAAAGACAACTGATGTCTCCATAAAGAGGACCTGTTACATTATATTTGCCATTACATAGGTGTTTGTTAGCCCCCTATGCGATAGCAATAAGCTGTGCAATAAAAAATAAAAAAAATAAAAAATTAAAGTAACAGAAAATTTTCCCCCCGCCCCCTACGTGCACGCACAAACAACGCAAACATGATTCCATCCCAATGCTTTGGTGAGGACCCAGGGAAATGCTAAGTACGTGAAATATCACAAGAAGATGCCCTTGCACAGAGCTGGGGCATCATATCTCAAAATTCTGGGTATTCAGCATTTCCCTGGGAGCTGGCAGAAGGATGGTGATGTCACCCCTGCAGTATGGAAGTCAAAGTGAAGGAAATATATTAAATAACTTTATTTTACAGGTTTATTTTCTAACATTCCTGCTGCCACTTACAATGGGGGATTGGACCCTAATACATACAGCAGACCTTGCTTTTTACTGCAAGGTCTGCTTTAAGGCTTCTTTGCATGCATTTTACTTTCTACTTAACCCCGATCATACAAATTCTGTTGTCTATAACGTTCAAACTGAACTTTAGATACAAGTGAATGAGTATAAAAGTGACCCATCCTTCTCTGTAAGGTTTTAGTGAGAGTCCTTGTTCCTGCTGTTTTCTCTCTTTAGAAACCAATAGTGCTCTAGGAATGCTGACATATACTAAGTATGTACATTATCTGTAATACAAAGACCAATTATCTGCATACACAGACATACATACATACATACACAGTGGGGTATGTTTATCCATATATACACACACACACTCACACTATTCTAAAGCACAGGGGTCATTCTGCAGTTGGCTCAGAGTAGTCTCAATAAGTCTTGTGATGTCCTTAATGAAGCATTCATGTAACAGGTACATTTTTGGATTTCATGGCTAAAACTTGCATGGGCTAATTACATATTATCAGATAAATACCACAATCCAAAGCTTTACTACATGCAGCTAACATGTCCTTTAACCACTTCAAGACCAGGTGTTTAGACCCCCTTCCTGGCCAGGCCATTTTTCAGTATTTAGCGCTGCGGTACTTTGACTGACGTTTATTCCGTCATGCAACGCTGTACTGAAATGAATTTTATACCATTTTTTAGGGACAGATAGGGCTTTCTTTTGGTGGTATTTAAACACCACTGGGGTTTTAATTTTTTACTATAATTAGGAAAAATTACAGAAAAAAAAAGGTTTTTTTTAACATTATGTTAGGAAACATTTATTATTACCCAGTTTTTTGGTAAAATATAAAAGATCGGGTCACGTCGGGTAAATAGACACCAAACATGTCATGAAATCGCAGAAAACTACCATACCCAAAATTGGCCATGGGCGACGCTTTAAAAGCTTTTACCGCTCATCAGTTTAGTGTTATCAGTGATTGATGGCACTAGAATTATTGCTCTCACTCCGACGTTCGCGGCGATATGTACCATGTGCGGCTTAATGGACGCAATCGTCTTTTTTGTACGTATGCGCCCCGACGCATGTTTGCATGCGTGTATGTATGGGTAGGGACTTAAAATTTTTTTTTGTTTTTTTTATTCTTTTTTATGGTGTAACTATGCCGAGCGGCGCGGGGGCGTGTCTGAGCGGACGTCTAAAGATGCCCGCTCAGATCTAGAGAGCTCGGGCCGGCCATTTTTTTACTACGGCCGGCCCGGAGGTGGTTAAAGCTGATCTTTCAGTTGCACAGTCACTGTGACCTTTAGGAGCATGGATTTTCATTCCTAAAACACACTTTCTGTGAAGCCCTCTTGAAAATTGTCCATTTGTACCAGCAATGCACTTGTTTACATTTCTCAATACAAAATAGCAGGTCCATTGTAACCTTCTTTTAAAAGGTTATTAAAAAAAGCACACCCCTGCTTCCACTGAAGTCAAGACATTATGCATTGAGAGAGGACACTTATCAGGAAACTGCACTAACAGTGTAATTAATTCACTGAATTTACGCATGGTGACAAACAAACATATAAGTATATACGTATGTTTGTTTGCTACCAAACATACAATTTACCAAATTAGCACCTGCCGTTATCATTATTATTGTGATACATGTTTTCCACATCTACATACCCAATGCTGTGTCCCCGGGGTTCAGAAGGGCCAGGGTTGTAGTCCCATCTTGCTTCCTTCTCTCGAACTCCAGCTGCAATTAAATTTGTTTGTATATTACCACAAAAAAAAATAGTACCTGCTTCAAGGTAAGTATGTTTTCCATGCATACATAATTAGGTGTATGCCATTTCATAGCTGAAGTTAAAGGGTTTAAGGCTTTAAAAGTGTATGTATTAGGTAGGCTAGATCATTTATCAGGTTTTTATTGTTTTCTATGTCTCTGGTGGGAAGAGTAGCCTCTTTGTTCTGGTAAAGAAAGTGTGTGGAAATCCTCCTATCCTATGATGACTTTCTAATATGGAAATTCTATTAACTTTGTAATTTCCAGTTGCGTCTCCAGGACAGGAAGGGAAATCTACCCAGAACACAGGAAGCAAAAAAAAAACTTTATACAGATTTTAACTGTTTCCTACATTATTTTAAAAAAAAAAAGGTTTTGACTTCACATTTTTTTTTTATAGTTTAATTTCAAATTCCACCAGGATCCTAACCTGAAAGTTCTTAGTTTGCAGTGGTTTACTCCCGGTTCTGTATTTACCCCCCACACAAGAAAAATTACTCTAAAAACAAACAGATTCAGGCTTCCACCTATTGCAGACCTTGTAATGCGTGTTTAGATAGTAATGGAAGAACAGTTCAAAAATGCAACAAATATTAGTGCTAATAAAAGAGAATTACATTACAAACAGTCAGTCTCACTATATTTTTGACTTAGGCCAGAATGAATGGCCCATGAGGGCTCTTCGACATAGATGCTCTGCCTGTGTTTTGTGTTTAGTTTTGATTGATTACACTGTTCAGAGGGAGGGAACAATTAATTGATGGATAGTGGTAACTGCTTTTTATTATGTATTCACCTTTGACTTGTTCCCTACAAGTAAAAGGAGAATACCATTTGGCTCAGCCTCTAGAAATCAAACTCAGATTAAAGCAACCCTGCCGCTTGTTATGAAAAATAAAAATCAACTAGAAAAACTGTAAAAGAACCACTGCCTTTAAAACAGATTTAAGTACTCAACATATTTTTTTTCCTTTTTACAGGGGGTTGCTGGCTGGTTGCTTGCTTTAAACACACAATTTGCTATAGGTAAAACACTCGTGAGCTCAAACCATACAATGTAATTTATAGAGCTTGGGTCCATGAAGTTAATATTTTAATATGTGTAGTTCATGTACTTGCTGTAATCAGTGCTCACCTGAGTGCTGATTGTTCTCTTTGTTAATTTGCCTAAAGAATCTCTGATGATTTGGTCGATCTGTTCCTGGTCTTTTTCTGAAGCTCCTTCATTTAGCCTCTGCTTGTCTTCGGACTGGTCCTTATCTTTTCTGTGAAAATAAGACAGACAGTCTTGTGACTAAAGGTGGTCATATCTAGCCCAATGTGATAGTTGAGAATTGTTTCTGATGAATGAGCCCATAGGAGGTTAGCACTGGAGCCACAAAGGCCTCATTCACACAGGCAACAGGCTTTACCAGCCTTCAGAAAAGTCATCGATAGTAGAACGCTATTCAGAGGTGGTTGAGCAGCAGTTTTTCCAGGCGTTTCAGAGGTAATACTGCTACCTCCTGAATGCCTGTATTTTTTTAATTTCAAGGTGGATTTTACACAAAACAACTGCATGCCAAGCGCTTACAGTGTGGTCCCGTTGACTTCAATACACTCATTTGGCAAGCAGCACATATTTCAGTAATATAATACTTCCAAATGTTTGCATGCAAAATTGCCCACCATCCTTACAGCCCCCAGAGATGAATATAACTACCTTCAAAGATATCAGAGTACTACATAGAGTATTTATCAATCCATGCTAGAATCTAATGGAAGATACATTAGCTCTGTGATAAGAGATTAATGTCACAAACCTCTATTTAGTAAATATATACTTATCCAACATTCATCAAATCAAATGCCAGAAGAAATTCATAACCAAGGGAGCAATCACTACTTAATCTAGAAAACGATAAAGCTATTAAAACCTTACTGGTACAAAAAAAAGATGACAGAGATATTAACCCAAAATACCATATAGTCACTCGCACTCCATTAGTAGATAGCAGTCAATCTTATTTATTGACTGAACATGATGTCACATACACAAAGCACTGAGAGCTGACAAGAATTTGACAGCCGCAGTCAGCACAGCACCATTACATGTTTATCGACGTGATAAGACATTACGTGACCATCTCATACAGGCTGACCCTAGGGAGAAATATATTAAAAGTACATTTATGATTTCTCATAAAACAGGTTTTTACAGGTGTCACAACTGTAACATATGCAACTCCCTAAATCGAGGGTGAACACTTTCTGCATCCTCATAATGGGAACAAGTATTGCATTAAGAGTTATCTGAACTGCAACTCTGTCCATGTGATCTATTTGCTTAGATGTCCCTGCTCTCTTGTATATGTAGGCAAGACCAAGAATCCCTTTAAGAGAAGGTTTCAGAAGCATTGTAGTGATATTAGAACTTCAATTAAAAAAGGTAGCCTCAGGTGAGGAACCAGATGCCAACAAACCAGTGGCTGTTCACTTTGTTGAACATAGACATCAGACACATGAGCTAAGAGGGATGGCTATAGATCACATACAGTTGAGTCACAGGGGGGGGTAACAGGGACCTCCAGTTACTGCGGAAAGAGGCCTTTTGGATTGAGGCTGGGTTCACACCTGGGCGTACCATAGGCGCGTTTTTTCTGCTCGTTTTTTTCGTGTTTAGCACTTTTTTTTCGTTCACTGAAACGCACGCTTTTATACCTCCCTGGCGGTATGATTTATTTCCCCCTTTATTTTAGTGTTTTTTTAAACTTTCAAACTTCCCGCCGGTTCTGCTCCCCTGCGACGTGGCCGCTCGGAAGGGACGAAACCCGGAAGTCAGCAGCGGCCTGAGGACACAGCGGGGATCGTGGACAAGGTAAGTCCTACGCTGTATTCCCGAGTGTGGCTCGGGGTTACCGCTTTGTTAACCCCGAACCACACTCAGGAATAACAATGAATATGTGCTGAAAAACGCCCCAAAGAAGTTCCTGTACTTGTTTGGGCTTAGGGCGTTTTTCAGCGCGTTTCCACGGGCTGAAATACGCCTAGGTGGGAACCATGCCCATAGTAAATAATGGGATTTCCTTTGCTGAGCGTTTTTCAGCGCTTCGATCAGCGCTGAAAAATGCCCAGGTGTGAACCAGGCCTTATACCTTGGACACTGTTGTGCCTCGGGGTCTCAACACTAATTTGTCATATGCTTGTTTTCTTGCCGACAGGTAATGGATCTCATTATTCCTAGTTTTTAATATGGGTGCCCATGGATTTCAGGTAGAGTAGCTTGGGCTTTTACACATGTTTTTTTCCTGTTTTTCACCCTGCCATTTTTATACTCTATTATTGTGCATTGTACGCATGTGGCTTTCTTGGACATCTATAGACTTGCAGCCATATACTGATTATATGTCACAATGTTGGTATGGATTTTGTATTTTGCCATGGATATTAACCCCTTGATAGTGCAGTAGTATACCATTGGGATCAACTACAATGATTATGGATCATATTGTGTAATTCAGTTTGGGTATATATTTGTGAATTCCAACTGTGATAGAGTGTAATAGTATCTGCACACATTGAACTGTGGAAACACATTTTTATGTATATTAACTAGTTGCTATACATGTATTGGAGGTTGTTACCATCTGAGTCAATGTATGTTATCACTGTTTGTGTACCTGTGCCGGACTGAATTCTGTTCTCCTTGATATCATTTCACTACAGAATGATGGCCGAGTTGCCATGTAATGAGGTACATTTTTTATTGACCTTTTTGATTTTATATTGGTTACACATTGTTCCTGTTGTGCTACAGACATGGCGTATGCTAATGCATGCGCCGTCATGATAGGCTGTGGCACATGTGCCAGCATAGCAAGCACGATCCTACTGACAGCAGGAATTGTTTAACCATGTTGCCATGACTCCACTATTTCCGCATGATGACATGTGTGGGGCGGAACTAGGATTATATGACAGGCTGTGACTTGATCACAGCGGGTAGACGGATGCATCAAGGAGACAGACTGTCATGATTGCACAAGGTACACTATATGGGCATTGTTTCTCTGTGTAAGCTGTTTAATACATTATGCAGCAGCATCAGGAGGGGGCGGAAATACGTCAAATGACGTTTGAGTGGGAGGTACACACTTTGGTGAATCGTTGAGATTGGCTAATTGGTTGATTGTTTCCCTCCATTTCTATGTATATATGTTTGCACTTTGTATTGGTGTTAACACTGTTGTCTGCCTGAAGAAGGGACTGCCTGGTCCCGAAATGTGCTTTGTGTATGTGACATCATGTTCAGTCATTAAAAAAAGATTGTCTGCTATCTACTAACGGAGTGCGAGTGAATATATGGTATTTTGCATTTGATGCGCAGAGGCATTCGCTGTCACTTTCAGCACCCCCCAGTTTTCATTTGGGCTTTATCCGGTCAGGAGTGTGATGGGATCTACCACATTTAGAGATATTAACCCTTCCCCACTCCATCGGGAACAAAAAATGTTTTGTAAAGACACTGAATGGTTTTCTTTTATCATGCATACAGTGCACCAACTGGCCTTGTATTAATCTTCCCGCTCTCAGGCTCCAATATGGCATCCTGGGCTACTGTTGTCCTTCTGGATTCTCGTCCAAAAGAGCACTGAGGGACATAAAACATCCAGGGTAATCCAGCGCTATAACCTCTGGCTACCCAACAGCACTATTTTTGTCTAGGTAATTGTGAGCATAGTCATGGCCTGGAAGATGACCTAGAAACACATACCTTTTAAAATCTTTGACTGGGGTTTTGAAGGCAGCAACATCACTGGTGTCCATCGATTCTTCTTTGGGTTCCTTCACATTTTCCTTAGCATCTGGATTGTCCTTCCCACTGCTCTGAAGATCTGCCATAAAATCTATACTCTGCTTTAAACTGTGGATTCTCTCCTGTATTGAGAATAGCAGACAAACATAACCACTTCTTCAAGATACACAAGCATGAGACTGATAGCAAGCCATGATAACCTTAAAGAAGAACTCCAGGATTTATTTTTGTTTTATTAACTCTTGCAGTGGGACTACCCCCCAACTGCAAGGGTTAAGTTCTCATTTGTGTCTAGGTGCTAAAATAACAAAGATATACTCACCCGAAGCTTGGAGCTGGCTAGCTGTCACGGCGCTCCCTCCAGCCTCTCTTCCCCTCCCTGCAGCATTGTAATCTTCCTCAGTGTCCTCACGTCAATACACAGTGCATAGACGATGATTTACGGGACTTTAGACTGCTGCAGAGGAGGGGGAGAGATGTTGGAAGGACCAGTCTAAGAACCGGCGCGGCGCTTTGGGTGAGTAAATCTTTGTTTTTTTTTTTTAACCTAGACACAAATAAGCAGCTAACTCTTGCAGTGCACAGGGTAGCCCCACTGCAAGGATTACTTTTAAAAAATCCTGCAGGTGTGTGTCCCTGTCAGGGAGATTCCTCGCCTCTATTTGACCCAGTGACCATTGTCACTGGGACAGAAATTAATGTGAAAAAATGGAAAATATTCTATAAAAAATGTATATAGTTTGGCTTTAGATACGCTTTAAAGTGCACAAATAGTGGGATGAACCTGAACTAAAACAGGATTCCACCCACATGTAAACCAGATGATTTGCAGGGAGAAGGAGGCAGTTCTGATTATGGCAAATGGCTTTATAGCAAAGCCAATGTTAAACTTACTGAACTCCGGTAAGATAACTGTGTTCGGAGTTGGACACTAATACATAGCTATTTTTCTTGAGGTTTTCTGGCTGGACTCATAGCATGTTTCAATGTTCCACAACAGGTGTGGGAGAATAGATGGGAAATTTTCCAATGAGGACACTGGTTATGGTGACCCTTCTGACCACCAGGGATTTCCCTCACTTTGGAGGGATTTCCTATTACTTCCTGTTGTGGCCATTGACACAAAGGGAAATCTCCCCAATGGGATACAGATGGAAAAAAAAAGCTGACAGGAGTTAGAACTCTCCCTTAACCCCTTCATGACTGAGGCCTTTTTTTCATTTTTTGCACCCATGTTATATTCCACATTTTAGGCCTGAAAATTACTTAAAACCCCCCAACATTATATATTTTCTGAATGCCAAGACCCTATAGAATAAAATGGTGGTAGTTGCAAATTTTTATGTTGCGCAATATTAGCGCAACTCCTTATTAAACCCCAATATTTAGTGAAAAATTTAATTAAATGCCCCAAAACACAACAAAATACCCATTTTTTTAATTAAATATAAAAGATGAGGTTACAACGAGTAAAACGATACCCAACATGCCCAGGTTACAAATTGCGTGCATCCGTAAAACGGCGATAAACCCCAGTACCCCAAAAAGTCCATAGAAGACGCTTTAAAAGCCCCCACAGGTCATCAATTTAGAGATACCCCAAAATACTGGCCCTAGAATTATTGCTCTCACTCCGGCGTGCGCGGCGATACCCAACATGTGTAGCGCGTTCGTCGTTTTCATACGTAGGCGCACCCGAC